AATTTCTTAGTTAAGCTGAAGAAATTGAAGAATATGGCTTAGTTTGAAATCTCAAACTCAAAAACAACAGAAGTGATTCCGATTGGTTGATTCAATAAACCATGACGTCAACACAGAACGACATGAAAGTCTACGAAGGAGACGAAGGAATGAAATATCAAGCATACTTTCTAATATGATCGTTTTCTCTTTGTAGAGACAAATCAAGATATTTTTGAGAGTTTTTTTACTGTGTTGGAACTTGAATACAATTCTAGGTATGCATTTTGGTCACAGTGGGCTACATCGACAGTCAATAGCACTGCGTATACATGTTTTAGAAAGAAAATTATATGGAATTAAAGCCGACCTCAAGGCAGCCAGAAAAAGAAGATGTTTCAGATTTGCCTAGTGCTTTGACTAATCAAGAATAAAACGTTTGTGATTTGAAACTGAAAATCAAATTTGAAATTCAATTGAGTTAACTTTTTACGACGAGGGTTCTCCGCAATTCTGTTTTAAAAAACTATCAAGTAGCCTTGTTTACAATAGAGAACTTCAAGATGGAATCATAGTTAGTAGTTAACTATGATTAAATGTAGTCAAGCGTGAGTTATTTCCTCAGGCTGTGTTAGTGACAATGTTTACTCCAGGGGAGTGGGGTTGAAAACRTTGTTTTCATTTCAAAAATATCTGAAAGTAATCTAGTTAACCGTGAATCGAAAAAATTAGTCGTGAGTCGTGAAATAGCCAAATTTTTAGCCGTGAGTCGTGATGCATACTACCCCATTGAGACCCTCTTGACTGTCGTCATCAATATCTTAATAAGATTGTATTAAATCATTTAAAAAATACTATCATTCAAGTCCACACAATATTATTAGGACTGCGCAATACTCATCGGGAGGGGGGTTGAGTAATGAGCCAAAACATCAAAAAAGTTAATTACTACTCAGTAATGTTTTTCGCCTGTAAAACTATAGATAGATAGTTATATGATAAAAGTTGTTAATATAATCTAAAAAAATTCTTGAAAACATATGATATTCCTTTAGACCCTTCCAGTAGCATCCGCATCCTACATTGTTTACCAAATATCACCCATATCCATATTCAATCGCAAATACTTCAGTAACTACACGCTGAAACAACTCCCAGCTAAACCTCACAAATTATATACAAAGTTTTGAATGCTATGAAATGATTATATTTCACTAGTACGATTCATGAATAAATCTTTTGGAAGTCGAGACAAGTCATTTTGCCTGAATTATCAAGTGATTGAAAACGACGAATCGATGTTATTTTCTTACCTTATCGTTCAGTCAGAATCAGAGTGACTATTAGAGTAGATGAATTGCATCAAATGAATACCCTAAAATAAGAATTTCTTAGTTAAGCTGAAGAAATTGAAGAATATGGCTTAGTTTGAAATCTCAAACTCAAAAACGACAGAATTGATACTCCCGCTCATTCCGATTGGTTGATTCAATAAACCATGACGTCAACACAGAACGACATGAAAGTCTACGAAGGCGACGAAGGCATGAAATATCAATCATACTTTCTAATATGATCGTTCTCTCCAGAGTCATTTATATTTTCTGTGTATATTGTAGAAAATACATTTGTAGAGACAAATCAAGATATTTTTGAGAGTTTTTTAACTGTGTTGGAACTTGAATAGAATTCTGTATGCAATTTGCATTTTGCTCACAGTGGGCTACATCGACAGTCAATAGCACTACGTGTACATGTTTTAGAAAGAAAATAATATGGAATTAAGGTCGGGCCCAAGGCAGCCAAAAAAAGAAGGAAGATGTTTCCAAGTTGGCTACTACTTTGTCTAATCCGAGAATGAAAACGTTAGTTTTGAAGGTCTTTGAAGAAACTGAAAATCAAAATTCAAATTCAATTGAGTTAAAGTGAACATTTTACGACGAAGGCTCAGTTTCCGCAATTTTGGTTTAAAAACTAACAAGTAGCCTTGTTTACAATAGAACTTCAAGATTGAATCATAGTTAATGGTTAACTATGATTGGATGTAGTCAAGCATGAGTTATTTCCTCAGGCTGTGTTCTGACAATGTTTACTGCGCAATACTTACCGGGAGGGGGGTTGAGTAATGAGCCAAAAC